TTAAAATAAATAGTGAGATATAACCTTAATCTTGTTTTTAATCAATTTTATCTCACAAGTTTTGAAAATATTTTCTCTTAAATATTGTTTGAAAACTAACTTCATAAAGTTTTTTCAAAGGTTATATTTACTCAAAGTAGAGTTATGTTATTAATACTTGAAGTTTATGATTTGAGTTAAAAGTTTTGGAGATATTATGTTTTGATCTTCATTCAGTATTTTCTATATATCTCTTAATATATAAATTCATCTAATGTAAAACTTCTTTCATTTAAAAATAGACTTGAAAATCTTCCCAATTACATCTATTTCATTCAAAATGAGTTTTATATGAAATTGCTATGGTTTTTCAAAATTAGTTGTTAATGCATCCAGATTCTTTGTAAAACGTCCTTAACCTTTGTTCACCATTTTAATCATATCTCTCAAAATACTTTGAATTTTTTAGTGGGTCTTATTTCATTGGAAACTAAAAATCTAGATATTTCCAATTTGCATGATTTGAAGTTAAAACAAAAAAGTTTTGACCTTTAGAAATTGACTGAAACTACATTCTAAATCTATGTCCATTACTCTGAAATAGCAAGCCTTATTTGAGAATAGCCAGTCTTATTTGGAAAAAAGCTTGCTTATTCTAGTATAAGCATAGATTCTAATGCTTTGTTTCTCACGTGAATAACAGACAATCTTTGAAACTCCTTCTAATTCCTATCCTTTCACCTTCTAAGTATTGTGTTTACTCTATAACTTTTTTAAAATCCTTTTAAACACAAACGTTAGTTAGGATTAAACTCTTAAAACTTTTTTTATCATTCCTTATTCACATATAGCCAAGAAACATGTGAGCTTTTCTTTAATCTATTCATATTGTGTTTCTCTCTAAAGATTAAGTATTTGACTTGATCTTAATTCCTTAAAGACCTTTCCTAATTCCCTAAGAAGTATTTCAACTGAACTTATAATCAAATATTCAAAATCTAAAAGCTTATGTGAGATTTCGATGAACGGGTCCTTATTTCGAAGGAGCTTCCATATTTCAAAATAGCTTATTCTTGTGTGTATTCCTTATTCCTAAATAATCAGCTCTCTTGCCTATTCAGAATTAGCTTATTTGGGAGTAACTATCCTTATTTTGAAATAGTGGCTATCTTCTTTCAAAACTATTCTCACTATGTCATCCTAAAGTTTCTTATTGAGAAATAGCTTATTTAGAAATAGCTTTCCTTATTTTCAAATAAATATTTTCAGACCACCATCTGTGTAAGTTTCTTTTGATATGAGAACTATATTCTAAAAGAACCAATCATGTACTTCTCACTGTTCTATTCTTCACTATTTCGGAATAAGCTTATTTATTCAAGAATAAACATGAAGAAACTTGTTCTATTTATTGCGTCTGTAATAGGGAAATTTCAATTCTCTCTAAAATCTCTTTCTTCTCATTTTCTGAGAGTTGTGTTAGTCATTTAATCTTCCTAGAATCATTTTAAACAGAACTTCAAATTAGATTAAACATGTCTTGATTATTCTGAATATCCTTACTCCCGAATAGTCTTTGTTCTTTCGGTATAATATTCAACGATAATATTGTAAGAGCATTAAATACATGAAATGTCATTATGTTTGTGTTTTGCTCTAACACACAAACCCATATGAAAAGCTACCATTTCCCACTATCCTTTTCGGGTAACAATGTCATGGCAAAGCTACAAATTTATACTTACATCTACAATGGTAAAGATCAAAGAGCAACAGAAAATTAATTATGTCTAACAAAAACTTTGCAAGACGCAAGAGAAGAGAAGACGATAACTCCAATGGCTACTTTAATGAGTCTAACAGTTCACTTATCAACTCCAACTATAAAAGAACTCATTTATGAAAATCAAAGTAGAGAAATAATTGTGTGCAAGTTGTGATATTCAATACTCTCAACTACCTCTATTTTTATTTTCAATATTATTGCACTTCAATGTACTCATCTACTCAATGAGTAAGTTTGTATTAGGATCACTTTGTGATCAAATTCTTTCTATTATTTATTTGAGCAGACTTAAGATTAGAGAATTTTAAGCGGGTGCTAAAATTACCTTTGGAAGAGAGAGAAAAACAAACTTGTAAGCCTAAGAGATTGTAAGTGATTTCACAAGCATATAGATCGAACTTGTAGAATTTTTGTAAAGGAAAATAATACAGACATTAAGTCTAAGATTGTATTGTGGCTTCACAAATTCCCAAATCAAACTTGTGATTGTAGTGAAAAAAACTCAGGAGGTTCTTGAAGACTAAATGTAGGGCAGTGAATTTGGCTAAACAAGGATAAATTCCTTGTTTATTACTCTTTATCTTTTGACCTTCATTAGCTCTATTTATTCTATCAACATTCATATTATAAGTTTCTATGATTAAGAATTTTCGGTCAAAAATCAACAGACATTCAATTCACCCTCCTCTTGAGCGACCAACATATCTTACATAATCAACTAAGTAGGAGAGGGGTTGATCTAATTTAACAAAAAGTTTGAAGTTTGAGCTCTAAATATGCAGTAATGATTAAATTATCGTTAAGAAGTATGCCTCCCAAAGAGATATTTAAAAGCTACCATTCAGATTAGTCCAAGTCAAAGATTTAAGATATTAAACCGAAAGTAAAAAGAAAAAAATTTACTAAACTTACTTAAAAAGTTTCCTGACATAGAGTTGCTGTCTCCAAATGAATAAAACTTTATGAATCCAAGTGAGTTCCTGATTATGGATTTGGGCCATCTCAAGCCCAAAACATGTTGCATGGGAAGCGGTATGCTCACCAGCAGGGTATAACCTCAGTTTTGTGCAAGAACATGATTTTCTTTACAGTCAATAATAAACTGAAGAAAGAAAGTACAATCAATTTCAAGTTGTTAAAAAAAAAATCAGATGTAATTCTTAAAACAAGAATGTATCTCGTGTTATCTAACTAGACCTCTTACTCAAACAAACATAATTCTTGTTCATATACTAGAAACTTAAGGGTTTTTTATTTCTATTTTCAAAAACTTGTATTTTGTTTTTTTTTAAAAAAAAGGTGTTTGGGTCAATGTTTTGGATTTAAATATTTTCTTGTATATGAAAACATCTTAGAACTATTTTCCTTTTTTATTTTTAAAGCATAATACATTTAACTATCGTAAATTACTTTTAATTATAACCAACCACTATCATAAACCATCACTATTAATAACTAACGACCATTGCTATTGGTTATTTTTTAATTATAAAATTATTTTTAAATTAATGTAATCAAATATATTTTCATTTTATTTGTTTTGAAAAACAGTTTTTAAAAATTGGTTTACAAAATATTTTAAAAAAAATAACAAAACCAAACAAGATGCTAGTAATCATATTTGGACACAATTATCAAGTTCTATCCTGTGTGCATCAATGACTTTCAGAATAATTCCCCTACGTTTTCTTTGAATTCATCCGTTTTAAGAGTTTCCCTTTAATTCCCATGGTTTATATTTTTGTACAAGATCCTCACAATAAATATTTAAAACCCATATTTTAAATCTTTCCCTTCCTCATCAGAGGTTGATAGTGGTGCTAAAGGACTGAACCCCAACAACATAAGATCATAAAGAAAGGGAGAAAATTTCAAAACCAATCAATAATGTGTGTGTGTGTGTGTGTGTGTGTGTGTGTGTGTATAAAACTTTTATGGGGAAGAAACATTCCCTACTTTTCTTCACTTTTGACACCTATCTCCCACCAAAGCAAAAACTTCACTCGAGAGTCTTCATGTGTATGTCTAACCAATGCAGCCATGGAAAGATGCTGCTGATATAAGGATTAAGATATGCAATTATAAAGAAAAGAAAAGGTCAATAAAATAACCATCGTGATTATAAATGTCTCCACAAGCTTCCAATCATAAACAGATACACCACAGAAAGCAACAGCTGGAAGAAAATAATTGAAAATCTCATGGTAGGTATAGTAAGACCCACCACACTCAGTAATATGGATGCTTAAAATAATTCTGATGATAATTATATTGCAGCAACTATATACGTGTGTTGATGACTGCTTCAATATAATAAGAACAAGTTGTATTTCATGCAATTTGAAAAGTCAGTATTGCTCTGGGAATTTGCTGGCTTCATTCTAGTTTTTGAATAGCTTCTTTTGAAGAATGCTCAGGCTGTAAAGGGGATTCCTCAGTGGAAAAGGAAAAGCATATACCAAGTATAGAAATTTCTTCTTTTCTATATTTAGACATTTGAAGCACGACCATGTTAAGGCAATATTTGCTAAGAGTGATTTTGCCCTTCAGGACCATTTCTAGACTATCTTGCTACAGATCACTCATGTTGCTGTATATTTTAGTGGAGTTGAAAATTATCCAATCTTAAATATACTTATCTCTTCTTTTGGATCACTGAAGAGCCAACCCAGATGAATAAATTAACTCATGAAAGAAAAGCAGGGAGAGAATTTTATTATACCTTCTTTTGTTCTGGTGTCCTGATTCCATTTTGCATCTTTTTTTTAGTCCCCTTGAATATACCCCTGAACCTAGCTGGGGCCTGAGTGCATGAGAACACTCCAGAATTAACAATTGTTTAAAATTATGCATTATGCATGGAATGATATCCATGACAGTTCTTGCATCATGCTCCACAATTGTTAACAGTTTATGTCCTCTTCATTTCCCTGTACCTTAGATAAAAGTAATTTCTTCACTCGTTTTGTTTCCTTCCTGTTCTGTCTCTACTGTTTGTCAAAGAATGGAGAGTGTACATTTACTGTCAGCATTTCTGTTCCAATAGGCTAAGCCGGGAACGTAACCAGAGTGGAAAAATTTTCTTGTAGTCTTGTGTGTGTGTGTGTGAGCTACAAGTCAATCATAAAAAGATAACTAAGCCAGTTAAGCACACTTGTTAGTGAAACTTGTCGCTGACTTGTTTAAATTTCTATTCAAAATTGTTGGGGTCTAGCTACCGACTTTGTCTACCAGGTGAACTCAAAAAGCCCTGAATCTATAAATGCCATAATGACATGTTGAAGTGTTGAGCTTCAGTTTCAATATTGGATAGCTACACAAGACGAAAGAAACTGCATTTGCTTGTACATTTCAAACAAATGGCTAGATCTTCTTATGTGCCAGTGGTGTCTGTGCTATACAATTAGAGATGGATGTCTATTTCTTGATTTCCCTTCCCCTCTACTTGAACATAAACTACCATGGCTATGGTTTTCCTAGCCTCCCCTAACATGCTAAAATGAATGACATTCATTGAGAAAATAGTCCTAAATATTATAGGATATGACAACAAAGATACCCCAATAAAATGGGTGTGTTGATGAACTAAGCTTACGCCTCTCAGTCCTCACATGGTTGGAAAAAAACAGCTGTCCTCATTTTCGTGCTTCACTTGAAGAGAATTTCTTTGCTGCTCCACCCTTTGAAGATGCGATGACAATTGGAACAGATCAACAGTGGAAACATGTTCAACAGGAAAATGATGTTTGGCATTTAACAAATCTGATGGTTTGTAAGTATCATCTCCATGGACTTCAAGTTGAAGAGCATGACCAGCATCAGAAGGCATTATGGGTCTGTTCTTGGTAACTTCCACAGAGTTTATCTCACGTGAAAAGGACTGACTTGGGACATATTTGTCCAGAGAGCTTACCCCAAAAGGTGTTTCAGAAACTTGGCCATCACTGTGCAGTGCGCAGATGCCTTGAGAAATAAGGGAACCAGCTGAGTAGAATGTTAGATCCTGTGACTGAGCTGACAGAAGAGAGAGAGCACAACTTCTGGAGTTGGAGGCCCTGGATAACTCTTGACCATTTGTTATGGGTACTGCTAATTGAGAACTGTAAATTGATTCATCTTCAAATTTGATGTGTCCAATCTGATTGCTTTGTTCATACTTTCCCGGGTAAAAAATGCCACTTTGAAACATGTCGTGAAAGGCAAACTGGGGTCTCTTCTGTAATGAAGCCCCGAAATATTTGGTACCTGGAAACCCATTCAGTATAAGAGAAACCGATAAAAAAGGGTACGTTTTTGACTTTTTCTCTATCATATCTATTAAGTTATTAAACTTTGGGTCAAGTGGTGGAACAGCATCAGAAAAGACATCAGGTGAAGGATTAGGAGCAGAAACCTTTATGTATTTCTGTGCCTCCGGTGGACAAAAGGAAATTTAGGATAAAAATTGAGTAACTTCATTTAGCTGTTGCATTACTTAGCAATTAGCAAAAGTAAGCATAGATTAATCTTAAGAGTCAATGAAGCTGAAATTTTTTGCATTATTTCATACGCAACCTCATATGGAGTTCACCCCTACCTAGAAAGATTGTTCCACCAGTTAATTTTTCATGACATTATTAAGCTGGTCAAGCCTCCAGAGAAAATATGAACATGGAAATCAAGCAAGTCCATCTACAGCGATAAAATAATAAGACCTGACTTTTCTCTCGGCATTGATGCATAGAAGATTTTGACAAATACATAAATATAGTTGGTAGAAGGTACATATCACCCAGGGGACCACAATAACAGAGAGTAAGATGATAATTGATAAAATAATTTACAGGACCTTTAAGTGCAGCTGTTGTCTTGTATATTTGAAAACCCATGCTGCCTAATTTTTATTGATATCTGCTGTATAAAATAAATCCTAGAATGACTTGCTTGATTCTCTTTCTAAAGTTTCAAAGTATATTTTTCAAAATATCATTTGATAAACAGCAGATAAGGAGGTTTCAATATGACTGATGTGCACGTGGCCACCATAGGCTGAGTTGAGCAAATTTTAATGTAGCTACGTGCTACTCACGAGGCTATTGACATATCTGAACTAGCATGGTTATTTATTTTTATTTTTTTTGCCACTAAAATGATAAGGTTACAAATCAAGATAATTATTGTTTATTATGTCGGAAGGGAACAAATACAACATCCCAAACCTGGTTTGTCCTTCTCCGATGAGAGGCATGCTATAACAGCCGTATATCATAGCCTCTTCAAACATATACCAATCACGTTGAAGATACAAATAAAAAGAGAAGAAAAAAAAAAAAAAAGCTAGACAAAATATGCCTATTGGTACCATATTTTCTTGCATCAACAACAAAAAGCTAACCCAGTATAGAGGCTTCAACTAAAAACTAAAACGTAAAGCGTACAACTAACCACCTTGATTAAGCCTCATGCTATGAAAACCAAAGAATCCGTATTAATGGATGTATCAATAAAAAACAAGACAGTCTCTAGGAAAGCAAATACATTCGTTACAAAACTTTATGAGTTTGGAGAATCAAGAGAATAAAGCTGATAAAGCAATGTCTGCAATGAAAGATCATCAACATATAAAAAAGGGAAAAAATTTTCAATGTGAAAGTACGATTTGTAAACTTCTTAACTATCAAATTAACTGTAACCAACTTTGCACATAAAAGACTATGACAGAGAACAAAAATTACACCTTCCTTTTGCAAACAGTAGAATATCTACCATTAAAGCTTTCACCCTGTTTTTAGTGCGTTAAGGAGAGGGGAGGAAGAATCATAGCTTAAAGATGATATGTGTTTGAGTGTGCATGCACCAATAACCCTAGCCTTCTCGTTTTATGTTTTTGGTCATGTTGGAGACAAGGATTTGCATACCTTGACATGACTGCAGTATCTTCTGTGGTTTACTAGAGATGTAATCAAACTGAGGCTTCCTTCGACGTTCATTGTGTCCAGCTAGGCGTCTACGACAACTGCGCTTGCCATCATCAAACTCAGCTAGCAAATGAAACCTAATTAAGAAAACAAAAGGGAAATACAATTCAATCCATGAAGTAACAACCAAGAAGTTCAATTTTCAAACACTAACCTCTAGCTAGGAAGAAAGGATACTTGGAATACATTAGGAAATTTCTTTAATTTCTATATCACATGGGCGAAAACATCATACTTCTATTAATCAAGTGCTGTCATAACATAAATGAAAATAATTAACCATAAAGGACGTAAAGATCATTAAATTGTTGCAAAGAAAGATCCTGGCATATATTTTTGTAATCTTGGCATGAAGCTTACCGTATATCAACAATGACAACACAGATAATCATTGGTTCACTAAAACCAAAGTAACAAAAATTTATCAAGTCCCTCGTGTTATTTTTAAGAATGGATTTGCAACTGAATGTAACTGACCTATATTTTAAGGACTATTTACCAGAAAATTTCCTTTAGAATACTGAATCATCAAAAGAAATTCAGGTAAATCTGATCATAGATATCTTAAGAAGCATTGTTGTAAGCCCACCACCTTGTCAAGATTTGCTCCCATATGTATAACAAATGAGATAAGAACTACTACAAGGACAATCCGTTAGACAAGTTAAGGTGCTTCAGTTTTACACATATTAAATGCAAACATATTTCTTGGATTTTTTATGTGATTGCATGAAGTATTTCGCTAAATTTGCCACTGTTTCCCACCAGTAGGATCTGCGGGACTAATTACCACCCGACTTTAATCATTAAAAACCTCACTACAAGAATTTGATAAAGGATCAGGCAACATCCTCGCTACTGAAGCAACTTGTGAGTATTTTTTTAAAAATATATATATATATATATATATATGTATGTATGTATGTATGTATGTATGCATGCATGCATGCATGTATATGAGATAATCATCTTATTGTAACAAAAATATGCAATATTGACGAAGGAAAAATGAATAACCTGCTGCACTGTTGACAAAACCTCTGTTCAATGCCATTAACAATAACTTTGGCTGTCTTGGAATGAAGATCACAAACTTTGTGCCTTTTGTGGTACTCTTTTGAGGAGCTAAGATCCTTGTTACAACCATAAACTTGACAGACAGGTGTTTGAGTCGGTAAGCTGGAAGTGCGAGCTCTCTTTGTAAGCGTGGCCGGATACATAGGTTGAAAAGTGAACCCCTCATTGTCATTTTTACCACTACTTGCATCTTTACAATCTCCTAATCTCCCTAGCTTTAAATCAATCAGTGAAGAATCATGAATCTTAGATTCAACTAGAGAACATGAATGCCTTGACTCAGACTCTACTTCTCCCGAAGGTGAATTTAGAGCAACATGAGGAGAGGAATTAACTTTCTTACTAGAATCGCTGTCTTGTTCACAGTTTGATGCTTCCAATGGCTGGCTACCACGAACAGGCCTCCTGAACAAATCAGGAAACCCCAAGTCCACAAACTCCACGCTTTTAATTACCTCTTTATCTGAAACAAACCCATCTTTCTCAAAGATATAAGAGGCTTTACTGTCCCATTCAACCATTGCTCTTCTACCTCTCATATATGCATCCAGTGAGAAATCCATTTCATCAGAAAACACATAGCCTTTCTCTTCTGAGGCGTAACTCCAAGATTCCATTAGTGAAGATGAATTATTGCTGCAAACGCTATGAAAAAATGTCTATACCTGCCACAATCCAGAGAAACAGTTACTCTTCTGCTTTGTTTTCAAGATTTTATCAGGTAAGCTACATAGGTACAATATGAACATAAATTTTTAGAGATGACTGATAAATCTCTCTTAAAAATACAAATTCCCCAAAAGTTCGAGTGACAACAGCAAACAAAATTTACCAGATCCCACTTCTATTCAGAGGCATGAGACAGCGTCAAAAACCCAAATTTATAGGAGCGTTTCTCATTAATGCAAAACAAGAAGAACCAGACAGACAATATTTTAAGAGGGTCAACGAAATCAAACCCAGGTTGAAGGATTTGATGCTGTCATCAAATTTGGAATCCCAACGGTTACATTAAAAAGCTTGGAGGTCAAACTTTGCTCCAGAAGAAATTATGAAAGAAGACACGTTAAAAATGCCCAGGAAACAGTCATTAGAAGAAGTGTGAAGAGAACCAATTCCTTTTTATTTCAAGAAAATTAGAACAAACCGCAATGAAACGGTAAACTTAGCTGCTGACAGATTGGGGGGGGGGGAATGAACTGGGTATCACACTATTCCAAGTTTCTCTACCAACTTATGATTTATCAATACAGTTCCGCAAGAACCAAAACAGGATATGCTTCAAGAAGATGATATCAACGAGGAATAACCTGATAGAGGGGTGGCAGCGTGTGAGGGATTTATTGAAGGGTAGAGTAGTGAACAGTGCAGGGCGTGGGGGGGGGGGGGGAGAGAGGAGTTTTCAGAGTAGTGGCAAAGTCGAAGCAGATACAGCGTGAGTCAACATGATTTCCACCGGAACCCAAAGCATGCCAAGGTCTTTTTGTAGCTTTTGAGAGACATTGAAATTCCATTTCAACCCTCTCGACTCCATTCTATTCACACGAATAGACAGTTACGCTCAGAATTGATAGTTGTTAAATCAAAAGCTAACGTGAGAATGGCATTGATAATTTATTAATACTCAACCGAATTCACGTCTCAATGGACTGGTGAAGAGTTTTGGACGGTCTAGTGGATTAGATTTTACTCTCTCTGTAACCTCCCCTCTAATGACACCACTAGAACTAAAAAAAAAATACGCGCTACATTTAAAAATATAAAATATTTTTTAAAAAATTAAATGTTTAAAAATATAAAATATTTTTAATCTTTTAATATATAATTTTTATATTTCTTTTAAAAGTGTCCTCATTGAATAAATCATTTTAAATTTTTTAAAGTGAAATATCATATTAAATAAAGATAAATATGAAAAGATATGATTAGTTTAAAAATAAATAACTATTTTATTAGAGTGAGATTTGATTAAAAATGCTTTTTTTGAATAAAGGGAAAGAGCATTAAGTTATTTACTTTAAAAGAAAGAATACTTTTAATTTTATTCTTATTTAAATAAAAAAATTTAAATTTGCATTATGTTTTATGTAATTTAAATAAAAATAATATTAAAAAAATATAATTAATATTCTATCAAATGTATTATTTAAATATTAAAAAAAATTTTTAAAAATGTCATAGAGATCAAATGAAGTGTATTTTTTGTCTCTTTGTGAAGCAAAAAAACAACATAGCTTTAGTTAAAATAGCAATTTGTCAGATCTGTGTTTTGTGTGTGTACGTGTAAATGTTTCATTTATCTGTGAATTAATACTTTTTATGTTTAATATTACCCTTTCGATATTATATGTCAATATTTGGTATATCTCAATTATAATTATACTATCCGTATTTCAACTATAATTGGATCGCTGTCTCTTCAATAATTGTTTTGACTAGTTTGATTTTCTATACCTTAGACTAGAGCCATGGTTGGCTACAAAATAAAGATAATTAATGAACTTGTATTACTACATCTCTCAACTTGGCAAGTGATAGAAGTCAATTTAGTTAGGTAATTAATTTTTTAAAAACAAGAATCAACATTTAGTTGAAAAATCCATAAAAATACGCCCACTTTTTTTATAGCAAGTCAAGCATAAAACCAGTATATGCTAAAATGTGGGGAGCACAAGCTACTTAGATAATCAATATATAGCTATTGTGATGTAGTATTTGCTTTACTTTACAACTAATTGTTATTTGTTAATTATCTATATTATTTACTAATAAATCACTAGTTGGCCTTGAGGGAGAAAAATAAAGCTACTACTAATTGAATCTAGATTCGTTGTTCACCTTGAATAAAAGCCATTGGATAGCCACCGAACGTTTAGATTGATTGGATAAGGGTCATCCTAACTTAATTAGAGATCACAAGTTCAAGTCTTAAAAATGCAACAACGTGATAAATCCCCTTCGAGGGGTGTGGTAGAGGCTTCTCCTAAAAATGGCCCAACCCAATCTCAGTTCAGATTAGTCTAACCTTGTGAGTTTGTGGGCTAGGATATTGAATGCTATATGCAAAAAAAAAAAAATATTGGATATTTTCTCCATCTATACATATATAATCTTAATATATTTTGTTTTATATTAAAAGGAACACTATCTCTACATCATAATATAAGGTATCTTCTAAAATTTATACTTTATCCAAAATATAAAGTATTGAGTAATTTTATAATTATTTTTTTAATTATACATTTACTTCATTTATTACTCTTTTTTAAAAAAAGACGCATTAGAATTTTCATTGTCATTAATAAAGCACTTATATTAGATATAAGGTGTACAATTTTTAGAGAGGTTAAATTTCAACTAACTTTTTTTTTAAATCATGAAACAATTATTATTATCTTATATTGTAGTCTAAATGGTGTATGATATATGAAACAGTAATCTATTATTTGTCTAGCAAAAGTTAATTTTAAGGAAAATGAAGGACAAATCCCTCTAGAAATAATAATTTAGTCCTGCAAAATGTGACAATAAAAATGAGGTTATAAAGGACTTCTTTGAGATTAAATTCTTATATGAAATTACTTTAGTACCCCTATGTGATTTAAAAAGTTGTGATTTTTTAAATCGCTTGTTATTGGTATAATCAAACTTGTGAATACTTATATCAAATTTATAAACAATACAAAATTAATTGAACCTCATTGATAGAAAGTTGTGATTTTCTAAATCATTTTAGTTATTGATGGAAATCAAACTTGCAAATACTTATACCAAATTTATGAACTATATAAAATTAGTTGGGCAGGTCTGGACATGCCAAGACTTGCCTATAGCAAGTCTAGACGTGCCTGGACTTCCTGGACGTGCCAAGACTTGCCTACGGCCAGTCTGTACATGCTTGGGCAGGTCTGGACGTGTCAGGACTTGCCCATGGAATGTTTGAACGTTGCATTGCCTTGCCCAAACCTTCACAACACTTGTCCAAGCTTGCTTGAAGTTGTCATCACTTGCCATGGGCTCGCCAACACTTAGCCTAAGGCTACCAACATTTGCCACAACCTTTACCCAAGATTGCCAACTCTTGCCATGGGCTTTGCCCAAGGCTACCAGCACTTGCCACAACTTTTTTCGGAGTTGCCAATACTTACCCCGACCATGCCAACACATGTATACCATAGGATTTGCTAACACTTGCCATGTGCTTTTCCTAGACCTTCTAACTCTTGCCCGTAACTTACCAACATTGGCCACAAGTTTCCTCAAGGTTGTTAACAATTATGACGACCTTGCCTACGCTTGCCCCAAACTTACCAACACAGGCCATGGTCTTTGCCCAGACCTTACCAATGCTTAACACACACTTGCTTGGGGTTTGCCAATACTTATCCGAATGATGCCAACACTTGCCACATGCTTGCTCCGGGTTTGCCGATGCTTGTTCAGACCATGCCAACATTTGTCACATGCTTGCTCAAGTTTTTTCCTAAGCTTTCCCAAACCTCTATTATATTTAATCGCACATCACACAACACACTAAAGTGCTAAGCACGTGCGCGTGGTTCTTGAAGGTCTATAAAAAAAAATAAGGTGGGACCCCTCGAGGCTGAGTGTCCCTCTAAGAAGCAATATGGACTTTTTTCACTCTGGCACAAATAGCATACTTTTTGCTCAAACGACAACACCACATTTGAGGGACCTAGAGACCTTCAATTCATGCGATGTTTTGCAAGCTTCTTGGACATGATATGAGGATGAAATCTATAAAGTTTCATAATTTTTGGACACCAAAAAGATTTTTTAAATTTTTTTATAGCTCCAAAGAGTGCGGCCTCCACAAGCGATGGCTTTGACGGCTAACCCCCAAAGATGTCAAGGGAGATGAATTTAAGTTAATAAAGCAAAAAAAATCATAAATGTAATAAGTAGATTTCATTTTCATTTTGGAGAACTTTTTTTGCATTGCCAGGACTTGCTCATGGCACGTTTAGACATGCTAGGATTGGCCTTAGGTTGTCTAGATGTGCTAGCATTCGCCTCTAGTAGGTTTGGATGTGCCCTGGGCTAGTCTTTTGCTAGTTAAAGAAAATTCTTATAAAAAATTATAATTTTTTAAATTATTTTAATTATTGGTATAACCAAACTTACAAATACGCATGACAAACTTGCGAACTATATAAAATTAGTTGCAAAGATGTACTAAAGTAATTTCACGTAAAAAATTAATCTCAAAAAAGTCCCTTGAAATCTCATCGTCATTATCATATTTCACGGGATCAAATTATAATTTTTTATTTCAAAAAGATTTATCTATCATTTTCCTTTTTTTTATCTCATGCATGTGTAAATTGATAAAAAAATATCATTACTAAATCAAGTAGTTGGAAAACTTGATTCTTAATCTTCATGTGTGGAATATAGCTAGTTGAAAGGGTTTATCTTTTAATTTTTGGCTGGTGATAAAAATTGCTACCATAGTGTGCTTTGGATTAATGGGGATTTAAATTTAAATTTGAATTAAAATTTTCATTTAGATACAAAAAAATTTATTAATATGGTTTTGGTTCAAGTCTAATTCAATTTTAGATTATAATTCCTCTATAATTTCAAATTTCATCTACACTTTAGTTATTTAAAATTCTAATCCTTTCAAATATCTTGTCCTCTTCACGTTTTTATTATTGCTACCTCTATGATTCTTACATATTTTCTCATCTATTGTCAGTTAAAAAATAAAAATAAGCTCATTATTTTCAAATTTTCATTGTCTTTTTTTTTTATCAATTCATCTTTCCTCTTCATTTAAAATTTTTTAAACTACAGAAATAAATAATTTTAAATACATGAATTTCACATACCTGGTGTGCTAATATATTGGCATGTCTGTTAACTTTCCGAAACACATGTTATAATTTTTTTTTATATAATTTTTGAGATAAAGCTACTTTCTTATATTATTTTAGATGAAGCTAAAATATATTTTTAATTTTCTAACTTTATATCATGGTTCACTTTGATCCTTTAATATTATAAAATATTTTTTAATCCTTTAATTTTAATATTGTTAGTTTCAAATAAAAATGTTTTATGTCAATCATTATTATTTTAAAAGAATTAAGCTTAATTTATCAACATTTAAAAATATTTTATTAATATTTAAATGTTTAATGTAAAAATTTATTAGGATAAAATTAATAATATTAGAGTTAAATGATTAAA